CCTCAGAGTTTTCCAGGGTTGCAAAGGGGTTTATAAGCCTAGCTCATTAAATGATCCTCTAAATTTAAATGAATGTTATTACAATGTAAGTAGCTACCACAAGACAAATAATACTCTCTGTATGGCTTTATCATCATAAAATATACCCTTTTCCATGTGAAATGTAGAGGTACCTCTGGGTCAACATGACTTATTAATGCAATATATTTGTTATTTTTGATTCAATAGAGTTATGTAAGCTGTCTATTTGAACTACTTGATACAATTTTTATTTTAGCTCATAGACTAGTGTTAATTTTGACTCACTGAAACGACTTTTGCTGGGTTTGTGAATCCTAGTTCTGTGTAAAATATCTTTATTTGTGAAAATTCAGGAACAAGGCTTTGAATCTTGCGTCATAGTTTCAGAGGTCTGTTTTCTCCTTCTCCACAAATTAGAGCCATGATATAAAGGAAGAGTCAGGTTGATCTTGATAGATACAACCTAAAAATATGAGAATGGAAAAGTAATAATCATACCTCCTTCTAACTGTCCTATCTCCTCCTCATCCCTATGATTAAGTGTGATACTGAAGTGCTGTGGGTTCCAGGACTGTAACAAAGGGGAGCCTGGCTTAGTCCTTTATAGAGTCAGAACTGAAAGAGCCCACCATGATCTACTGGGTCAGAAGCTGTTCTCTGCGTGAAAACGGCCAGTGGTCAGGTCTATGTGAGCTAGAAGGGAAGCTCACTGCTGGAACTCACCTTTAGCTATAAGCAACATCTATAAGCATCAATCACAGGAAGAAAGCTGGGCAGAGACATGGCCTCCTTACAAGGCACGGCATCAGTCATTCCAGCCTCACAGCAGCCAACATTGGGAAAAAACTGGGTCACCACTGTCACCTCTATTTAGGGCCAGGGGTTCAGGTGGAAGAAGCAAGTACCTCTAGAGAAGGGAGGGACATTCACTGTTACCTCCCAGAGGAGAAGAACCTGTGCATGCCTTCTAGGTTTAAGTCACAGTCATCATCAACAATCAGAATCTAAATGCACCAGAGATTAAAATAAATCGAAAGCAGTCCTCAGGCCCTTGAGGAGATCAGTGGAGGAATTAACCTATAAAACAAACAAATCCAGCAGCACATTGTGAATAAGAGTCAATACCAGGCAGAAATGAACTATTAAGTAAATGTGGACGGAAAACTATTGGAACCTCAGAAACAAGTAATAGGTTGAAATAAAATAACCTAGTCTCATTTTAAGGAAGGAGTAGATAAGAAACAATAAAAATTTCTCTGGTGTGATGCAGGAAAAACACAAAAAAGTATAAACCTAATAAGGTCACTTAACAGAAGTAGAAGACAGATTGAGATGCTCTACAATATGTAGTATTACACTTTCAGAAGAGAATGAAAGTAATATGGGCTGGGAAGGTAGCTCAGTGGTAGAGTGCTTGTCTTGCATACATGAGGCCCTGGGTTCGATTCCTTAGCACCACATAAAGCAGAAAAAGCCGGAAGTGGCACTGTGGCTCAAGTGAGAGAGTGCTTGCCTTGAGCTAAAGAACTGAGGGACAGTCCCCAGGCCCAGAATACAAGCCCCATGACTGACCAAAAGCAAAAGAAAACATAACAGAGAATGAAAGTAATGGCTGAGAAGTGAGAGCTGGTCATTTCTCAAAATAGGAACAAGACCTGAACTGCCACCCGCTCCCAACTGAAAACATACTGTGCATACTGAGCAGAATAAAGATAAATGCGTATTTGGCCTCATCAGTGAAAAACTGCAGAGCCTCAAAGATAAAGACATAGTACTTCCAAACTGCCATGAAGAGACAGATTACCTCTAGGAAATAGCACTGACTGGCAGCAGACTTGTCATCATTACTAATAGGTACCAGGAAAAATTCCAAAATGCTGAGGTGAAAAAATAAAAGTCAATAATTTTGTGCACTCCCAGGTTATCATAAGTAGGAAGGACTACTTAAAGATAATAAAAATGTTTTTAATTTTATTGTGAAAGTGATGTACAGAGCAGTTCGAGTTGCGTAAGTCAGATGAGTGCATTTATTTTGGAACAGTCTCATCCTTTCCCTCATTTTCTCCCAGTTTTTCCCCTCCAAATTAAAAAAAAAAGAAAGAAAGAAATACCAAGAGTTCAAGTCAGGCTCCAGTGGCTCACACCTGTAAACCTACTTACTAAGGAAATTGAAATTCGAGGATCACAGTTCCAAGCCAGCCCAGTAAAGAAAGTCTTATCTCCAATTCACCACCAAAAAGCCAGAAATGGAACTGTGGCTCAAGTGGTAGAGTGCTAGCCTTGAATAAAAAGAGTTAAGGGCTCAGGCCCTGAGTTCAAACCATGTATAAGCAGAAAACTAGGAAGGGAGGAAGGAAGAGAGGGAAGGAAGGAAGGAAGGAGGGAGGGAGGGAGGGAGGGAAGAGGAAGGAGGGAGGGAGGGAAAAGGAAGGAGGGAGGAAGGAACGAAGGAGAGGGAGGAAAGAAAGGGTGGGGAGGAAGAGAGTGGAGGGAGAAGGAATGAAAGGAGGGAGGGGAGGGAAGGAGGAAAGGGAGAGGAGGAAGGACTAAGAAGTTTACATCCTCCTAGAAAACTATTAGGGAAGAATATTCACTGGCAAAAGTGAAAAGGAAATGCTATGGTTTGGAGTTAGTGCTCCTCAAAGGCCATGTAGTACGGGCTTGATTCCCAACTGATGCTGCTGCTGAAATATGATGGAACCTCTTGGAGGTCGGGTCTGTACTGGGAAGTTAGGTCATTGAGGGAGTATCCTTGAGGGAATATTTGGTTTCCACATTCTTCCTAGCTTCAAACAACAATTTTTCATATCTCAGCCTTCTGAGTACGTAGGATTACAAGTGTGAGCCACCAGCACCCAATTCTGCTGAATGGTTTTTAACATTATTTTCATCTTTTGTGCGGTTCTGGGAACTGAATCCAGGGTCTTATGCTTGCTAGGCAAGTGCTCTACCACCAAGCTACATCCCCAACCCTCTTAGTAATTAAGTCCCTGACAGTTTGAATCAGTAACCATGCATCTGTAATTACTTTCTTATTTTCCCAACAAAGTTAGATTTCTTCTACTCAAGAGCAAGGGCCATTAGGGTGTGTGACACATCCGACTTTCCAATCAGTGGAGTGAATGCTTCCTTTACTTAAACAATTACTATAGATTTGTTACATTTGTTAGCTTTAAATTGACTGTAAGCCAATGAGTTCCCTAAGGTTTTCTTTTAAACTGCATGGTTTTGGGGAACTGTCTTTATTAAACACAGTATATATTTTAAAACTATCTGGGAAGATCTTTTCTGGCTGACCACATCCTGTTGTCCCTGAGTTACTGCCAGATGCTTCATTGAGACACCTTCATTCCTATGTGTCTTTGCCTCCCATCAGAGCTCAGGAGTTCGGTGCCTCAGCTAGGATTCATGAAAGGTAATTCATGGAAGAGGATATTTCATGCTAGGTCTTGACAATCTTAGTGTTTTATTAATTTCCCTAAATCCCTGTGTTCCCAAGGAGCAAAGGGATATCATCAAATGGAAGAGCTCTATTTACAGAGATTATAATGCTATCTCTTGTTATTCATTAACCCACTGATCACAGTGTACTGATTTTTCTAGAAGAAAAGCATGAGATATGTTTCAGGGATAAAGGATTTTGTCAAAAATTCCTAGACAACAGTTTTGTCATACTTGCTTAAAATATATGTCTAAGACTAGGCATGGTAGTTCACATCTGTAATCCCACTACTTTGGAGGTGTAGGTAGGAGGATTGAGGTTCAAGACCAACCTGGGGGGGGATGGGAAAAGATAGGAGTTAGCAAGATCTTATCCCAAAGAACAAATCAGTCTTGGTAGGGCAAGTCTTTAATTCCAATTATAGAAGGCATAGGTCTATGATCATGGGCAGAGTTGGGCCCCTGGCAAAATTGAGACCACATGTTTAAAAAATAAATAACTAAAAGCAAAAGGAGCTGGAGGTTTGGTCAGGTAATGAAGAACTTGTCTGGCAAGCATCAAACTCCTGTACTAAAAAAAAAAAAAAAAGAAAACTGCATTCTAAATTGATGCATTTGTTTGAAAATTGGTGCTTTAGTTTCAGCAAGTGTTTGTGTATGAATATTTAGTTTTTCAGAACTTTTGCAATTTAAAAGTTTTATACTTTGATTTCAATGGCTCATCAAGAATTTCTAGTGATATCAGATTTATCATGAACCACTGCATAAATTTTTCCTTCTAAAAATTTATCTAGCTAAGAGTCTCTTAGAATTTCTTAGTTTCATAATGAATATGTCTCATTTTGGTATTAACTTACTGACCAAAATATGTATGTGATACATAGGCATGTATATAAATGCAATATGTTCTAAACCTCTTAATTTCACGTGTGGATCCAAGACAAGGATGAACTACTGAGCAATAATTAAGGGAAAAGTGGAATCAAATGGGGGTAAATGAGTACATTTGTGCTTACAATATTCTTAAGGCATAACTTTTAAGAAAAACTAAATGATCATTTATCAACCCATTCCCTTATTTTCATTATTAAAATCACTAATAAACAATGACTTTACTAATTGAAATAGCAGTTTGACAAGTCTTTACTTATTTCTCAATTAAGATGGCTTCCTTTAAGTATCACAAGAAGCTAATGAATCGCCTATTAATTAAGTCTGAACTTTCTCCTCTAGTACTCTAGTGAATGGGAGAAAGTGAAATATGATCTATTTAAATTGCTTTATACTAAACTGAACTTTAATGGCAAACTAAGTTTAATATATGCTATTGTTATACACAAAGTGGTAAGTATAGCATTCATAATGGAGTTTGCTGATTCTGAATATTGATTTATCTTTATGTACATTTTGTTCTTGAAATTCAAATATTAAATGTTTTATCAGCATTTCCTAATTAGCCAATTGAAGCCTTATATGAAAAACATATTCTCATCCATCCAACAAGTCCACATAATTTTTTTCTTCTCTTGTTTTCTTAGCCTCTTAGCAAATACCCTGCTGTGACAAATGACATTTCATTCTGGTTGCCCTCTGAGAATTACGCAGAGAACGATTTCTATGATTTAGTCCGAACAATCGGAGGAGACCTGGTGGAAAAGGTTGATCTCATAGACACATTTGAGCATCCAAAGTAAGTGAAAAGCTTTCTGATTTCATCCTTTACTATCTGTGTGACAAATAGCCTATAGAAACATACAATAAATTTTTGCTATAACCCAAGGCATCTGAAACAATGTCTTCTGAATTCCAAGTGAACATATTAACTTATGAGAAAGCTCTTATATCAGTCATCTTTGAAACATTCTAAAGTGCATTTTTTTCTGTCTTAGTGAAGTGTATTACTCAGACTATTCTAAAGATGGTTCATATTTTGGTATTGTTTTTCGAAGTAGTTTCTTACCATATCACATCCTGGGTATGAAAGAAAGAGACAGGAGACTAGGCCCAGAAAGAAGAATATGGGGATGTGAGGAAGGGAGCTGCTTCATTAGTTTCTTGGAGAATATTTTGTAAACAATTCCCTTGTGACCCAACCTACAGCATTTCCTAGGACTTAACTGTGCTCTAATCAGATAAGATCTACCAACTTGTAGTATGTACAGTCTTATGGGCAGATCAGATATTGAATAATCACGTGCATTTGAAGTACAATGAGGGGAAAATACATTGGATGTCATCATAGGCTGATTTCACTTAGAACCCAGCCAGGCTTGTTGGGGCATGGAAAATGTCTGCTGCATAGTGAAGGAATAAGGAAGGAACACCCAGAAGGCAGGTGTCAATCTTTGGGGACTATGGCATGTACTATCTACAGGCTGAAAAGAGACTTCAATGGGGCAGAGATGTGTTTGTGGGTCAGGGAGGACAAGAGTGAGCCAAGTCTGCAACCCTAGTATAATTAGGGTTATATGAGAAAAGGAGAAGGGAGTAGTGTGATCTGACTTGTTAGCTTAAATGTCTCTTTTATTACCACCTCTTGAAGGAGGAGCAATCACCAAGTCTGGGCTGACTATCTGCCCTCTTGACATAAACAGGTAGGTCACACCGTCAGGGTAGGATCTCCTCATTTTATCCTGTCATCCTTTTTTTTTTTTTCCTTTTTGCCTCCTTTCTTTGCTTTTTAAGTCTTCTTACCCTAGATAAAGACCCTCAGTGCACTGCTCTTTGTCTCAAGTTCCACAGTTATCTAGATGACTGATTCAAGTTTATTATCTACTAACAAAGTTACTCAAGGACTAGTAGAAACTAACCCTGCTAACTCCATGCACATTGAAAATTTCCTCTTTTGTCTTTCCAAAATGCTATTGTATAATCCTTCGTAGAAATATTGCTTCACTTAGTTTTAACAAATCGTTGCATAGTAGCTAGGAATTTCAATGGCAACATTTTTCTGTGGTATTCCTGCTAGTAAGTTTTCTACTACTGGCCTCATTTTCTTTTTCACTCTTCTAGTTGAATATGAATAGTATTCATATGATTGCCTTTGGGTCACTTGTGTTAGAATGTATTGTGTTTCCTGGACCTGCTATTTGTACAGGTTGGTAAGAATGGTTGGAAGCTGGCCTGGAAGGGAGGCCATTATCCTTTTTGTTATTGTTGTTGTTTTGTTCAACTACTGTGGCTTGAACTCAGGAACTGAGTTTTCACTCAGCTTTTTCACTCAAGGGTAGCTCTCTACCATTGCTTCACTCTTACTTTTGGTGGTTAATTGGAGATAAAATTTTCATAGACTTTCCTGACCTGGCTGCCTTCAAACCACAATCCTCAGATCTCAGCCTCCTAACTAGGATTACAGGTGTGAGTAATGGGCAGTAGGCTCATATTACCTTGTTTTTACAACCTTAGGCCTAAGGCTTAAGAAACCAACTCTGTCTTTAAAATTGGCTCATCTCTTTGGTCTAGTGTGCTTCCCTGGCAATCTATAGAAAATCTCCCCTTACTTACACCAATATCAGTACTCACTGGTAGAGACTTGCCTTGCACTTCAGATCATAATCCCTAGCTCTGAACAAAAATGTATTTTTGCTAGGGACTTCTGAAGTGTGTCACTCTATGCTTCTTTCCTTCAGTTCCTCCCATTCAGTTCCTCCCATTTGGCTTCTACTTTATCTCTGCTGCTTTTGGCCTGTAAATATATTTTGGAGCTTGCAGACAATATCTGTCTCCCACTTTTACAGAAAAGAGAATGTGTGGGGTATTTTGGGTTCCTGACACTATAGAGTGCCAATTTAGCTCTGGGTTTTTGTCTAGAAGAGAAATTTCCATGAGTCTCCATAGGAAACTGAGTCTTGATTTTACTTGTATATAGGACATAAAATATTAGAACAAAATGAATTGTTAAGTACAACCTAGTATGCCAAAGGCATGTGATTTGTATTTTCCTTTTCCATTCTTGTTAGTATACCGGAAAGCTTCTGGATGAAGAATCAGGATTTATTCTTAGTTTTAGCTTATAGTTTCTTGCTTACTGATATGGCCTTAGTTCTAGCCCTTATACTCTCATTCCTTGTGTTAATAGTAAGGTAACCCCTTGCAGACTGGAAATAACAGAATGTACAAGGTTGTAGAGAGTTTTAAGAACCTAGGAAGTGGAAGTTCCATTGCACTGGGTATGGGGTAGGTAGGGAGTGGTAGATGTGGAAGGGGTGAACCTGAACATTTTTGACTGTAGAAGATATTGATGGAGGAAAACACTGGCTAGCATGGGAAGTAGAGATATTGTGTGGTAGGGAAACCTACCCGGAAAGACCAAACACACAGAAGCCATTAAAATATAAAATTGCATTGGATTGTATCAGAAATACTTCTATTATTCGGTCTGTACACACAGCTCCATACTAAAGGATGAGAGGTGAACTTATTGAAGTCCTTCTAAGAAGACTATTTTAAATGAAAGTTGAGAACAATTATTCAAAAATCACCTCTCACGGCATCAGTGACATGGAGTATCTTTGTTCCATTTTCACATAGTACATAGATCATTATGACTATTCACCCTCCTTCCTCTGCTCTGTTTACTTCCCCTACCCCCTCACTCCTACTTATATCCTAATCTGGACACACTTCAACTTTCTAATGTTATTGTTTGTTATTCTGTGTGTTAATTGTCCAAAGGGTCCCAGAGAAAAATGAAACTATGTCATTTGCAGGGAAATGAGTGGATGTGGAAACATAGTCAGCAAAGTAAGTCAGCCTCAGGACAAAGATCACATATTCTGTCACATATATGGATGTTACGTCTAAAATATATCTAATGTCTATATATTGTGTATGTGTCTGTGCATGTGTGTGTATGTATGTGTATGTGTGTATGATCAGCTTGATGAAATTTACAGGTGTGAGATACCATGCTTACTTGTGTGTTAAAATAAAGAAGCACCTCTGTACAGCCCAAGGATCTTGGATCTGGCAGCTCAGTACATATGACTGGAAGTTCTGGTAATGAGGGGAAGCAGAATGAGACTCAGAAGAAAAAATGTGTGTTCTTCCTATGACTTAGGGAGGAAATATTTAATCTGAAAAAAAAATTAACACACCTTGCAAAGTGACATTGATACTGATCAGCAGATCTACACAGCCAATGTGATTGGTCCCCTTAGTCCTGGATTGAGAAAACGCTATGTACTGTGTCATGTGGGATGCTGGTTCTGGTTTCTAAATTATTTCCAGTCTTCTTTCTTTCTTTTTTTTTTTTTTTTCCGTTGGTTGTAGGGCTTGAACTCTGGGCCTGGGCACTGTCCCTCAGCTCTTCAGCTCAAGGCGAGAGCGCTCTACCACTTGAGCCACAGCGCCTCTTCCGGTTTTCTAGTGGTTTATTGGAGATAGTCTCACGGACTTTCCTGCCCGGCTGGCTTTGAACCTTGATCCTCAGATCTCAGCCTCCTGAGTAGCTAGGATTACAGACATGAGCCACTGGCACACAGCTTCCAGTCTTCTTTCTTTTCATGCAGCCAAATAAATGCAGTTATCTGAACTTAAAGATCTCCCAATCTTTTAAGTTAGAAAGCCAGCAGCAACTAATCTCAACAGCATCCTGAATTCAGGGAGCTTCTCAGAGATTCCCTTGAAATTAGCAGCCTGCAGGACCAAGGAGATGACCAAAGGCAGCTAGATCTGCTTTTGAACTCTCCTGTCTCTCTCCCCTTCTTTTTTCGTTTTTATTGCAATGCTGGTAGCAGAAGTAGAACTTTGTTGTAGTTCACACAGCCTAGAAAGCAATTCTAAAGAACTATTTTTAACCTAGATTTTAGTTTTTTTCTGTTTTCTGTCTTTCCCCAAGCCTTCTTTCTGCAGCTTTCAAGAGAGAAGGGCTTCTCAGTACTATTTATACAGCAGGCCTATTTGCTACCAGTGTTAGACAATTAAAGTAAGCTTATGCCCTGAACCTCTTATTCTGCCTGGTCTCCTACCACATCATCATTTTCTGAAGGATACTTTGGGATTATATTCAACATTACATGGACTGGTCCCCAGGAGAAGCATCTCTTCTTCTAGCAGAGATGTGCCTCTTCCCTGCTGGCCCAGAGTGAGGCCAGGAAAGAAGCCAAGTACATAATCAGCTGCATTTGTAGTGATTTGGTAGGCTACACCTTTGGAAAGTTCATAACAAAGCCACCCTTTCTTCTTTGGCTTCCAGTTGGCAGTTTTCACGTCGTTTTTTGATATTTTCTTAGCATCTCATGTACCTTTTGCAAGTATGGAGATCATATGCCATTTTTCCAAGATGCAAGATGCTCTGCTTTGATTATGATTTATACCTACCAAGTCTCATCACCCCATTCATAAAGAAATGGAAAGACCTGGGAGGAAAATCACATTAAGTGAAGTAAGCCAGACCCAAAGAAACATAGGCTCCATGGTTTCTCTCATTTGTAATAATTAGTATATGCCTAGGGTAGTTCTAGCAGAGGATTACAATAGCTCAGTAGCTGTGTACATACGACCATATGAAATGATATTAATTGAAATGAACTCCAAGATACAGAAACAAGAGGGTTTTGAGGTGGTGGTGGTTTTTAGTGTGCTGTTTGCAGTTATTTCTTTGTTTTTTTTTTCCTTTGGTTTATTTGTTGTCACTGTTTTCTTTTGATACCCTCTGTCTTATATATAAGCTTATCTGATTTAGGGACA